TAAAGCACATTTGCATTCTGTTAAGAGCTCCAAATGCTAGAATTGTACAGGAAGCTATGAATTCAAATTTCAATACTTATTGGCTTGTGACTTAGTAGCTTTTATTATCCTTGGTTTCCTTATCTATAAAATGGGGATAATAGTAGATATGAACTCACAGATTTTCATGAATATTAAGTGGTACAGTTCTTACAATCTGCCTAGTATAGTACTTATTCCATATATTTTACTCTCATTACTTGGGTAGATCTGAGAGTTAATTCAAGGCAACATTAATTTTAAACAAGAAATACAAATATTTTAAAGTTTCTTCCTAGGTCATATTAATCAACCAGCAAATATTTATTAATTCCTCTCCAGGCAAGAAGCCTGAACCCGTGAGGTAGGAATTCCTAGAAATAACACAGGAGCAGATCCAGAGGTGAGGAGCCCAAGTCAGATCATCCCAACATCTTCCCATATACTCTCTGATGAGTTTTCTAGGTACAGTGGGCCAGAATGAACCCACAAAATAGTCCTGAAGTGTGAAGGATTGACAAAAAGGCACCTAAGGAATGCATGAAAGATCAGACTTGAAGAAATTTTCATGACTGCCGGGGTGGCAAAGGGGAAATTGAGGACTAATTGTAGTTGAAACCTTGACTACAGCCTGTGTGTGTAGATAGAAAGGGAGGGAGAGAGAACTAGCGTTGGTCTGGTGATTGGGAGCATACAATCACAGTGGCAACACGGTGGCATTCTGAGATCTGTCTATGGACAGGAGCATAGTACCCACCTAGTGTATACAGATATAGACTATGAAGTTTTCCAGGGAGCTAATTTGACTCAGGGAATCCAGATTAAAAAAAAAAAAGTAACAACTTGCATGAATACTTTCTTCATCTATAGCACATTGGACAAAAACTTCAACAAGGTATAAAATTATGAGTTCTGAAGTTCATTGTGCAAGTTTCTGTTGTACGCAGGATGTGAGCTTTCAGGGTCGCTCAAAGCATGCACAGTGGATTTTAATACAATCTTCTCATTTCGGTTTTCAGGAGCACATATGCCTGTGAAGGAACAGGTGGTTGATTAGTCTCATTTCTAAAGAAAAAACAGCTGTATTTATTTTTTTGACAGAAACTCACACACACACACACACACACACACACACACACACACAGACACACACACACACACACACACACACACACACAGAGAACCTGATCTTCCATCCACTGGTTCACTCCACAAACGGCCACAAAGGCAGACCTGGGCGGGTCAGAGCCAGGAGCCAGGAACCCCATCTGGATCTCCCATGCTGGGTGGCAGAGGTGCAAGCACTTTCCCAGATACACAAGCAGGAAACTGGGTTGGAAGTAGAGCAGCTGGGGCTCCAACCTTTGCTCTGACACAAGCTGTGGTTTAACTCGTTGCACTACAACACATACAACACTCTGGTCCTTTTCTGGTTAAATGCCTGAACCATCCCAGTGTAAGTCATTTTCTTTTAAAAATTGTGTTTGTTCAAAAGGCAGAATTACAGACAGAAGGTGAGACAGAATTAGAGAGAGAAAGAGAGAAAGAAAGGTCTTGTACCTCCTGGTTCACTCTCCAAATGGCCGCAACAGAAGGATCTGGAGGGATCTGAAGCCCAGAGCCTCCTCCAGGTCTCTTGGGTGCAGGGGCCCAAGGCCTTGGGCCATCCTCTGCTGCATTCCCAGACCATAAGCTGAATGGCAAGTGGGGCAGCCAGCACACCAACCTGGCACCCATATGCAATGCCAGCATCACAGGCAGAGGTTTCTGCCACGGTGCCAGCCCCTCTCCAGAGTAAGTCATTTTCTTTGAGGAAGTAGAGCTGCCTCTAATTATAACTCTGGGCTCTGGTTCACCTTTTCTGTTTATTTTATTCTTAACTTGTGAAACTGTATCTTAGGATCTCGGGTATATAAATTGTTATTTGATATCAGCTGAACAACAGTGAATTAATTGTAATGGTTCTGGCACCAAGGAAAACAGAGAGTACTTAAATACCAGAAGGAAAAAAAAAAAAAAGCTGCTCTGTGGCTACAATTTACATCTTGGGTATACAATACAGTTTCAGAATATTTCAAACCTCAAATAAAGTTTTCCCATTGCTTCCCTCATTGAAGATGAAGAGGACAAGACAGAAAATGAGCTTTGGCCCACACACTTTTTATCAGATATTATAGGAGGAACTCAGAATAAAGAGGCCTCTTCCCCTTCCACTCCCCCTCCCAGGAACAGCACTGGGGACAAAGTTCCCACCGCAAACCCTCGCCCCCAGGACTCACTGGGGAATGCTGTGATAGCTGCGGGAGGCAGAGCAAACAGGTTTGGGCCCTTTCCCTTGCTCCATCCCCTCTGCGTCGGCGGTGGGCTGTCGCTAGCTTGGAGATGTGGCGAAAAGGACTTGGCGTTCCCAGCCTGGATCTCCCCGAGGTACATACCTACAGACTACGGGGAATTACGTGGCAGTTTCTGCCAATTCTTCCTACCTCCCCCCCCGCGCCAGTGCCCCTCTGTCTCGACTTTCCCGCATCCGGCTAAGCGTGCCAGGACTTCCCAACTTTTCCGCGAGTCCAGAGGTTCGCGTGGAGCCCTCGCAGGGCTGGCCGGTTCCCGCCTTGTTCAGGCCTCCCGAGCTGGCCCGGGGTCTGGGCAGCTATGCAGAGAGCCAGTACCGGGAGGAGGCGAGAGAGTATTCAGTCCTTCTGGGTCCCATCCCAAATACTATGATTCCGCGTGTACCACGCAGAGCGACCCTAAAAAAATTCAAAACAGGCAACGCCGAGGGTGCTCAGCCTTCCTGGGTCCCCTTTCAGATTTTTTCAAGTTGAAATCTAAGAACAAAACAATGCTAAAATGCAAATTAGGCAACATGATACCTTAGGTTGTGCCTTGTTTGACAAGCCAACCTGAGGGCTTCATGGAAAGCTTACTCCCAGCCCCGGACCGAATTCATTCTGTCTTTCAAGTACTTAAAAAAAAAAAAGTGCAATTTTAAGTTCCACCGCTGTCATAATGCACACTACATAATAACAAGAAAGGGAACAATGGACACCCCCCGCACTGCTTCGCGGCAGGTAAGTACGAAGTGTCGCGGAGCAGGAGAGCGACCGAAAGCCTAGAACCTCCCTGTGTCCCCCGCGGAGCGATGGGACGGACGTCCAGGACTGCAGGGCTGGTCCGGAGCTCACGCAAGATGCCTCAACCCAGAGGGCTGGACCGACGCCATCCGACCTCGGACACTCGGCCGCCGCAGGATCCAAGACGAGGGGGGCGGTGGGGGCGAGCACCGCTCGGTAGAGCGCAGAAGCGAGCGGCCCAGTGGCCAAGGAGAGAGAGCGCGCGAGCGGGCGGCGAGGCGAGTCCCGCTCGGGCGTGGTGAGGCCGCTGGGATCCTGCAGAGTGGATCCCTACGCGGGACCTCGCGCTGTCTCCGGCACGCACTCAGCCCTGCTCACTGCCGCACCAAGGCATCCGTGTAAGGGTGCGCACGGGGTCACGGAGTAAAGCTGTTACTTTGTTGCAGGGCACACGTCTGTGTGTGGAAAGGGGGAGGGTGAAAGGGGGGCAACCACAAGCAGGAAGAGAAAAGAGAGACAGCGGGCTAAAAGGACAAGTCCCACTTTAAGTGTTCTACAGTGCGGCAAAAGCTTCCTTGCGCGCTCAGTGGGAGGCCACGCTTTGGCAACCTGCTGGGCTGGGCGCTGGGACCTCTCCAAGGGGACTCCAGCCTCCACGCGCCCCTGCGCTGGCCCCCCCCAGGGGGACACAATGCCTTGGCAGCTGCTGGGTGTGTGTGTGTGTGTGTGTGTGTGTGCGCTGTGGTTTCTTTCTACCGCAGTTCCGAGGTGGTAAGCTCTGCCAGGGGTTAGGGGTGGGAGAGAGGAGGCCTCTCGCGCCGCGCAATCTCGGGTCCACAAGCGCTCAAGCCTCCTCCCCTCACCCCCATTCATTTTTTATTTCTGCAGCTTCTTGTAGGAAGGGCTTTAAAAAAAAAAAGCCCATAACAAAACAAAAACCTACCCAACTCCCAAACCCACACGGAGCTACGGAGAGGGGCTGGGGTCCGAGCGGGCGCTGACGCCAGTGGGGCGGGGAGAGAGAGGACCGGCGGAGAGGCGGCGGCCGCGAGGGGCGCCTCATGCCGCCGCCCGTGCCGGCCGTGGCTGAACAGGCGGCCTCGAGCAGCCCCCGGAGCCGCGCAGCATCCGCGCGCTCAGTGACGGGGGAAGCCACGCCCGCTCCGGAGCCGGGGGGCCGGCCTAGCCCCCACTATTCCTACACCGCCCCCTCCTCCCTCCGGCCCCTCTCGCTCGCTCGCTCGCTCACTCGTTCGCTCGTTCTCTCGCTCGTTCTCCCTCCCCTCCTCCCCGCGCCGGGCCCCCGGCCCGCCCCCGGCTCCGCTTGCAGGAGGCGCTGGGCGCCGGGGCTGGCGCGCTCTCCCGGGCGCACACACACACGCACACACACACGCGCGCGCGCGCATACACACACACTCACACACACACGTCCCCCCGCGCACGCCCGAGCGGCTCTCTCCTCGCCGGGCCCTGCTCCCTTTTCGCCCATGCCGACGGACGGAGCGACGGAAGATGGCTGACGACTCCACGGGGCACCGAGGATGCAGCCGTGCGGCGGCGGCGGCGGCGGGAGCAGCAGCGGCAGCAGCGGCGGTGGCGGCGCGGGCAGCGGCGGCGTTGGCGGCGTTGGCGGCGTTGGAGACGGCGGTGGCGGCAGCAGCAGCAGCAGGAGCAGGAGCGGCGGCGGCGGCATCCCCGAGACTCCCCGAGCTACCTTCCCCAGTGACAGCCGCTGACGTGCTCCGCCGCTAGACGAGAGACCCCGGCTCCTCGGCGCCGGCCTCCCCCTCGCGCGCCCCGGCCCCGCCAAAGCCCCGCCAAGCGCCGCTACCTCTCCGCCAGCGTTGCCACCATCAGCACCACCTCCGCCGCCACCGCCACCACCGCCAGCGCCGGCGGTGGCGGCAGCAGCCATTTCATCTCCACAGAAACCAGACACAAAAACATGGCAGAGATGGAGAAAGAGGGGAGACCTCCGGAAAATAAAAGGAGCAGGAAACCGGCCCACCCCGTGAAAAGGGAGATCAACGAGGAGATGAAGGTATTTCTGGACCATGGGGCCGGGAAAGCCCGAGTCCCTTCTGCACCCCGTACCCCCCTCGCCTCCCGCCCCTTCGTTGTGTGGCTGGGGGGGGGGGGGAGGTGGTCCGGGCGCGCCTGACAGGTTCGCTGGACGTCCCGAAGAGCCCTCGGCTCCTCAGGCGACGAGCCGAGGCCGGCTTGCGGCTGCATCGCCGACGTCCGGCACGCTCCGATCTGACTGGGGTCCAGGGTGGGGTGTGTGTGTGTGTCCGTGCGGTGTCTGTGTTTGGGATGGGAGGGTCGGGGAACATACTATTCCACCTTACACAGCAGCCTGGGGTGGGTTGGCACGGGCGCGTCCCGGGGAGACTGGCTGGGCGCCGCGGCGGCAGGCGCACTGAGGGCGCTCTCGGTGCGCCTCAGGGTTTTGGGGGGGGACTCCCCGTGCTCCGGGAAGGGCTCCCCGGACCCCTCCAAAGTTAGGAGGCGCAGCCGAGGCAGCCGGGTGCGCTCGCCGTCGCCCGCTCCCCGCCCCCGTGTCCCGCCTGCCGCGGAGTCGCCCGTTGCTTGGCGCTCGCTCACTAATGGGCGGGCAGCGCGGGCCGAGGTGCGGCCGGGGTTGGCGCGGGGCTGGCTGGGGTCCTGTGCGGCAGGCTCGCCTCGCTCGCCTCTGCCTGCCTGCTCCCCGTGGCCGCCGATGTCTCGGCTCGCAGCTGCCCGCTTCCCGGCCACCTTGCTCCTTTGACCCCCGCTGGAGAAACAGACCCCTGGAGATCTGTTTCTGGCCGGGCGGCCTGCGCGAGGCGCCTGGCCATTGTTCGGAAAGGCCAGCCCCGAAGGCTCCCCGCGGGCCGGGCTCCCCGCCAGGCCAGCGGTGCCCAGAGGTGGCGAGCACAGTGCCCCGTGCGCTCTAGCTGTTGGCGTCGCCCACAGCGCTGCTGGGCTCCGGACTCCCCTCTGGTCAACCCCACTCCTGGTTGCCCACCAAGTTGTGGCTCCTGCCTGGGCGAAGGTTTTATTCTAGGTTTTGTTTCGTGAGTCTTTCTGAAAATATAGTTACCAAACATTTTTTAAAAATTAAATTTTTTATTTCTGCGAGTTACTAAAAAGTAGCGGGGCAGCCTTCTGCAGCCTTCTTGGTTTTCTGTATCTTCTGCATCGAGCACTTTATATTGCCGGGTGACGTGGTCAGGTTGGCTTCACAGACAAAACTGCAGGATAGCCCAGGGCTTCTTAGTCTGGTTCATTGTGTGTTTGACGTTTTCTTGGTTACAACCACCATCGTGTAGGGGAGTGCCCGGTTCGAAGCCTGCCAAGGGGATGTGTGGATTGGACAGCCTGTGCCTACCTTGCCAGCATTCCAAGTTTTGGAATTAGGGTCTTTATTTGAGAGTGAGGAACTTGGTGTCTGGAAGCCCTAGGTATGGTTCGCTTCAAAAGAAAATCAAGGAAGATTTACCTTGGAAAGCAATGTCCTGCCCTGTGATAGGTCCTGCCATTGATGCCAATGATAGTTAAGAGCGGGTGGTGGGGGGGTCAGAAGGAGAGAGAGAGACAGAGTCCAAGAGAAAGAGGTTTTTCTTTTTTGTCTACACGAACCCTTCTTCTTCCTTTACTGTTCCCTCCTGTCTAGCACTTCCAGATTACTTTTCCATTTCATTTGAAATTGGGCATGGGGGTGGGAGGTGGGGGGAGGAGGAGAGATGAAGGCAGCTAGGAAATTTTAGCCTGCCCTGGCCCTTTAAAACTCTGCCTAATGTGATCTATATGGATGGCAGTTTTTAAGTTTCATAGGTTCTAGAGTTACAAATTAGCTAATTTTAATCAAAACATGTGAAATGTTATCCCGGCTGGCTATAAAGGCTGACTGTGCTCGATGCTCGGGGCTCGTGTTGTTGGCTTTGGCTGCAGGCGCACTCCGTGGTTTGGGAGATAGTTGTCCTTCTACAGTATAACAGATGTTTGTCTGAACTGGTGAGGAAGAAACAAAAACAACATTGTGTGAAGGGGAAAAATGACACAATTTTTTGCCAGGACTGCAAGGACTAAGCATGGAATTAACCTTACTGCACAAGAGTTTCCTCTTTTTTAAAAATGTTATTTTCTTTCCAGAGCACCACCACCTACTATTTGAAGTTTTAATCCTCATCATTTCCACCCAGAGTAGCAGCGTAGCAGCTCATTCAGTTGCCTGTAGGGTCATGTTTTTTTTCCTCTCTGATTTGGGACCAAGTAAGAGACCCTTGGCTAGAATTTCTGGTCATGTCCGCAGATACCATGCCAGGGTGTTTGGTAGGACAGCACCCCCAATCCTCACTTAATAAGTAGTTTCTCAAAGTTGAAAGGGTTATTGGAACTCATTGACATGGGTCTGTTTTTAATATCAAGCGCTGCATCAACAAGACACCTCTCCCCTCGCTGCCCACCCCCAAGAGCTGGCAGTATTGTTCTTCCCCTAGCTCCTGGAGCTCCAAGCGTAGAGTAACCTAACAAGTGGGTTGCCCTGTATAAAAATGTGTGCAGCAAAATGTCAGCCGGAGCACAATGTGGCCTTGTGCAGCTTCCTATCGGTGCCGCTGGAACTGCCTGGCTGTGTTTGCCTTCATCTGAACAGCTTTCATCTGGACCAGTGTAAACTAAGCCCTGGTAAGTAATCACTGCCCAGCAGAAAGAAAGGAATGTATACAGCTAGCCGGGGCCTAAGCTGTAAAAACGGAAACCTGAGCCCCCACGTAGGATCACATATCAAGGCTGGAAGGTAGGGGAAATGAAAGGGGGAAAGAGGAGAGAGCGAATGGAAAAGTCAGCCTGGGAAATGGGGGATCAGGAGGAGCCCCCACTCCCCCCTGAGGGAGATTTGGCTCAGGGATTAGGGAATTTTATCATGGTGTACAGTGACCTACTCGGGTTTCAACATGAGGTTGGATCAAGTTGCTTCTCTGAGAGCAGAGAGAAAAAGGACTGGTGTGTCTGTCTGTGGTTCCCGTCCTGGCCCACCCCCTCCCTCCTCCTCCCGGTACTAGAAAGGACGTTGGTACAAATGTCTATTTTAAGTACAGCAAGTGCAGGGTATACTGAGAATGAGCAACAAAATGGCCTCATCGCAGAGACTTCCTTCAAGGTTTCTTAATTGAGATAATCACATATTGATTTTAAAAATGCCTGGAGAAGACAAACTGGCTGACACCAGGAATGGCAATGGAGATGGACTTCATGTGGCTGGCAGCTAATGTTGCTTGCTGTTTCATTAGATCAGATATTGAGTTACATTTTCGTTATCACTGGTTTAATGTACATGGCATTGGAACAAATTTAAATTTGATACAATATAATTTTGTGTGTGTGAAAGTACATGACTTGGCATGCTTGCTTGTAGTCTCCTGTAGTGGAAATATCTTGGAGTAGAAATGTTTGCACCGCCCCCGCCTCCTGTGACCTTTATAATGCTTCTTTATCTTCCCTTTCCCCCCTTCCCTTCATCCTGGTTTTCCTTGATTAAAAAGACTGGCTATGTTACTGTGCTTATAATTAATATGCCTTATTTAATTAGTGACTAATAGAGAGGCTTTAAGAAATTCAGATGGCAATGCAATTGGTATTTTGACTCCTTTGTTGTTTCTAAATGAATGTTAGGATTGTATTTAATATAACATATCCCTGAAACACTGTTGGCTCACATGTATTCTAGTGGATGGATGTCAGGAGGGGATTCTGACATATGGAAGGGTTAATTAGTTTCAGGAGTTCATCCAGAACATGGTAGATAGAGTATAAAAACTGATTTGTACTAGTGAATGTGTGAGTATAAATACATGTGTGAGTATAAATATTGTCACACGTAGGGATATGTATGTTGTGCATATATAGATCTTAGTGAACTCTGATCAGTTGCTACCAAACAATAATACAACTAAAAAATATCTGAAGTGTGAGCAGTGATAATGAATCAATGGATTGTATTTTTATGTTTTTAAACTCTTCGACAAAATGAACATGATTAGATTAACCATGCTGTCTTGGAAACTTTCCTGAACAAACCATGTTTAGTGCATTTATCATGTTTGCTCTCTTTATCAATTGCTAAACCGTAAGACAATCTGTGTTATGGGTCATGGGGTCTTTGTTTTGCTGAAGAAGTGTCCTGTCTATAAATATTCTCAGTGAGTAATTTGTACCTAAAATTATGCTTCGGTCCGATGCCTGCAGTTTGAGTTGAACACATCTGTTAGAGTTTAGTAGTAAACGCACCACAGGATTTTCTAGTTTGGTTTCTGATCGTCTCCATTTGGCATTCAGCATGACCTGTGTCAGTTGCATAGACAGTAGAGCAAGTTGCAGAGCTGAGCTGGTCAATGCCATGAGATAAATAGTTTGACAGTAAAAAAGGAAAATCATAGACCTCAGAATGTGGACTAGGAAAGTCAGCATGTTTGAGGCTGAGATCGTTATGTTACTGAAACAGGTATATTTTATGTTTGCTGCTAATGCTCCATTTTGGTATGAGACACAGGAAGTCTCTGGGACTTTAGAAAGTGAGTTTCGGGCCTGGTCCCACTGAGGCATTTACAAATTATGTCTGACCTCTCCTGCTAAGCAGTGGCCTCAGGTGTTGCCATGTGGCAGGACTGTGGACTCTTCTGTGTGGGGACACAGCCCTTGGCACTCGCAGACAGCTAGGGGATGCTCCTGAGCCCTTAATTTGGCTCCCAGCTGTTGTGTTCAAGACTCCAGGCTCTCCCCGGAAGAGATGATCTTGAGAGTGCTAGGAAGGCTCTGCTGTGCTGCTCCGCTCCAAAGGAGGGGTTTCTGGGAAGAGACTTTCTCTCCATCTGGGATCGGGTGAGTGTGATGTGTGGTAGAGTACGTTCTCTAAGCCTCATACGACTCGCAGGTTCCAGAGGCGAGCGAGGAAATGGAAAGGAACCACTCCACTTCCTCCCAGATCTGAAATAAACATTTGAACTAGAAGAAAACGAGCCTGACAGACTCATTCCCTTCTGCGTTTCCTGCCTCGGTGCT